GAAGTCTGACCAATGCCATACTCGAAAGGGTGCTGCCACTTGTCGCAGTACCCACAGGCGCCACCAGGTGGCGCACACGTACCGTTCTTTGCAATCAGTTCGTTCTTTCATTTGGATCGAACTGGGTCCCCAGGTACAACCTCTCCTCTTGAAATTCCTTCTTACATCCTCAAACTCTTCCTGTCGGCAGACCGTGCTCCTTCCCCACGTTCTGTTGCTGTCATCCGAAGTCACTGAATAGGGAGCATCACTCATTCATCAAGTAAGAAACTTCAAAGTCAGAAGAATCAAATCATTTGTAAAAAAACAAACAAACAAACAAACTACCTTGCTCAAAACACGTAAACAATGAAGAAGCACAAAAATAACAAATGATTTCTTTCACTGGTGAGCTTTCTCTAATGAGAAAATTCGCACAAAAGTTGCAATAAGTTAAAAGAAAAGGTACAAAATCTAGGCCAAGTAGTAGCAAAGACTGGATTATTTATTTATCTATTTAATATTCTGTGACAGTTAGAATTTCACTGTATTTGGGGGGAAAAACAAGAGCCAAGCCCGGCCGGCGTGGCTCAATGGTCGATCATCAACCTAGGAACCAGGAGGTCACGGTTCAATTCCTGGTCGGCACATGCCCGGCGTGTGGGCTCCATCCCCAGTAGGGGGAGTGTAGGAGGCAGCAGATCCATGATTCTCTCTCACCATTGATGTTTCTCTCACTCTCTGTCCCGCTCTGAAATCAATAAAAGTATACTTTAAAAAATGTTATCAATGGAAGAAAACTAGATTTAGGAATGTAAGTCTAAATTTTGTTTTCCCAATAGTTGTGACACCTATTCGATGTCAAATGCTCAGTTACAACCAGTTGAACTAGTGACAGAAACAGACACGGGCCCAGGGCTGGGCGGGGTGGAGCTCACGCTGTATGGCCCGGAGCCGCGGGATCACAGTGGGGCTGCTGGGCGGACTGGACCCGCTGCTGTTCAGACTCCTCCGTTTGTCCAGGTTGGGAGAGGCCTGCACGGTGATCTTGTGCTGGAAATCTGTCAGAAGGGAGAGAAAGGACTGAGATTTCCTGGTTTGAAGTTATTTTCACAGCCGAGTCTTCGGCACATAGCAATCCGAGCGAAAACTGCCAGAGAGCCCGGCTGACGGGCTCAGGGGTTGAGCGTCCACCTATGAACCAGGAGGTCAGGGTTCGATTCCTGGTCGGGGCACATGCCCGGGTTGCGGGCTCCATCCCCAGTGTGGGGCGTGCAGGAGGCAGCCGATCCATGGTTCTCTCTCATCATGGATGTTTCTCTCTCTCCCTTCCTCTCTGAAATCAATAAGAGTATATATTTTTTTAAAAAAGAATCATTAACAAAAAAGAAAAGAAAAGTACTTTGTGGTCACAGCACTTGACAAATGGTAGGTACCCTTACCTACCTGTAAGGGAGGGTAGGCGTCCCGACAGAGCTGTGCAAAGAACTATGGGAATATATGAAAGAAAGAGCAATAGTAGCAGATGGAAGGGGAGACTGTCTTAGTAACCTGTAAAAAATATATATATATATTTATTTAAAACTCAGACACAAGTAAGGGACCTCGTGGGTGTTCTGGCAGTGCCTTCGTCTTTGATTGATTTGCGAGCGACTGGGGTATTTTTACAGCTCAGGAGGGGCAGAGGTTAACGTGGAGAGTTCGTCTGGGGATGATGCAAATCGTTTCTGTCTGGCCAGAAAGACAATCCCAAAGGTTACGGTTTATTGCCTTTCCGGGCATTAACCAGGTTGGTATTTAACCCAGCAATCGAACCCTCACATTCCTTTACTAATGGCCCATAAAGACCTGGTCCCGCTAACTCTATCGAACCAATTTGAATGGGTTCCCTCATTCACCAGTGAGTTGAGAAAAATCTCGGACACGTGTCCATTTCCTATTTGCAGAACCATAATTTGCGTTATTACCTTAAAGAATCACCTAGTATTTGTGGGTTTTTTTAAAAATATATTTTGATTTCAGAGAAGAAGGGAGAGGGAGAGAGGGAAACATTCATGGTGAGAGAATCGTGGATTGTCTGCCTCCTGCACGCCCCACACTGAGGATGGAGACCACAACCCGGGCCTGTGCCCTGACCGGGAATCAAACCGTGACCTCCTGGTTCGTATGTCAAAGCTCAACCACTGAGCCACACTGGTCGGGCTGTGTGCCATTTTCTATTCTGCTTGGAATCTCCTGACACATGTAATCCCTTCATGTTCCCATCACAATGATTTAAAAACATTTTTAAAAGCTTCCCTGGATTTCCTGGTTCTTTTTTATACCTAACGCACTTTAAACTCTCAGACGGAAGTAATTAAAGTATTTGATATATCTTGTCGAGGGTGCTGGCAGCATCTTCCCTGTCCCAAATGACCATGTGACACTAAAGATTCCCAGGAAGCAATAACCCTAACGATGAAATAGCGACAGCTGTCCCGGACTTTCGCCACGCCATGCAGGGTCTGTGCGATCAGATGCACGGGAATTCTGCTTTGGTTTCACAAGGAGAAAATGCACTAACCCCTACAAACAAGATTACCAGAGAGTTAAATACTCGCATGCCACCCTGCCCGGTTTGGCTCAGTGGATAGAGCGTTGGCCTGCAGACTGAAGGGTCCCAGGTTCGATTCCCGGTCAGGGCACATGCCTGGGTTGCGGGCTCGATCCCCAGTGTGGGG